GCGAAATGTAATTTCCTATACAGCAGCAAGAAAAATTCACAGTTTTAGGTCCATGGTGTCTGATAAATCGTATGCATCCGTTGTCGCTACTTAGCGTATTATTCAGAGAGGATGATATTTAATTATCTCATAGAGGGCATCTTCGCATAAAGGACTTTCTGGGCGAGAAAGGACGAGATATGTTTTCTGATCGACAGCGCCATAACTTCGACAAATAAGAACTAAATCCAACTAAATACTATTTAAAACAAACAATACCAATTAAAGAACACTCTTCTCAAATAAGTCGTAAAAAACTTTTTGAACCAGTCCATCATCCCTTCCAGATGTACGAATAATGACCTCCAGCCGCGTTGCCCGCGTTTCTGACTACGCCTTCTCTATTTCCTCCACATACTACCCCTTCCTTTTCCTTTCTTTTCCCATTATTTCTCTCGTTTTGCTTCTCATTTTCCTATTCAATACCCTCTTCTTCTCTTTCTCCTTCTCATTCTCCCCTTAATTTTTCCTCGCCCTCCTCATGATCCTTCTTCAACACCTCTATTTTCTTTGTCTTCTCTTCATTTGAATTTGCCTTCTCTTCTCCGTTTTCATTTATCTTCTCCTCTTCATTCTCCTTTACCTCCTCTTCATTCTCCTTTGCCTTCTCTTCATTCACCTTTGCCTTCTCTTCATTCTCCTTTGCCTTCTTCTCTTCATTCTCCTTTGCCTTCTCTTCTTCGTTTTCATTTGTCTTCTCCTCTTCATTTTCCGTCGCCTTCTATTCCTTTTTTCAGTTCCTTCTCTTCTTCCTCCGTTTCCTGCTCTCCTCCTCCAGCAGCGTGCGGCGCGAGACGACTTCGCATTCCACCGGCCGCCTCCGCCTCCCTCCTCCACCTCCCTCGCCGCCGCCTCCGCCCGCCGCCGCTGGCGCGGCGCCCGGCACAGTCGCCGCAGAGACCGTTGGCGGCCGTGGCGGACGCCTCCCTGCGCCCGCCGGCCGCCACTCGCCCGCGACACCACACGCGCCGTCGCCGCGACGGCGCCGCTGTGCGCTCCGTCTTCGCCACGCGCGTGCGTCAACACGCCACGCGCGCGTTCGTGTGTCTGTCCGCGTCCGGCCGACGGGCATTTGTGCGCGGATTGAATAGTGCGTGCGGAAAGTGACGCGCGGGTCACTTCTAACACGGTGTTCTCCTAGCGGGCCGACGCGTATTTGGTACGAGAGAAGAGTTTTTTTTTTTTTTTTTTGGTGCCCACGGCGGTACAAATTATTTTACCGTGGCTGCGAGTGGAGGTGTGTCTAAGAAAGTGACACGGTGTAGGGCGCCGTGTAGTAAGACAGCAACGTCGTATTTTTGTGTTCGCTTGAACTCGAGGTGTATTTTGGTACGAGATGTTTGCGCGATAGTCTGTGAATTTTGCGGACTGGATGGAAAATTGCGGTACGAAAGTGACAGTTGAATATCTATTCCTGCAGACAAGGTATGTGTATTCTTCCTGTGGGCATAGGGATCGGATTAAATGTTGAGTGAAGCACGAACGATTTCTGAATTCTAAACGTTTGTTAATTGGGAACGGAGGAATAAATTTTACAGAATACTTTTCTTTACTTCGGGAAAACACCTTATTTTTAGGCAGTCAGGTGACAAAAACTGTCAACGAGAAAGCAGAAAATTTATTGTGAGTGATTACTACGTAAATATTTGTGCTTTGGATCGGAATTTGAGTATTGTGACACGCAAAACATCAGTTTCTTTTAATTGTCAATTTGGGGGTGATTATACGCCTTCTAAGTGTCAAATCACGCCTGTCAGTGTTTGGTATACACTTCTCTTCATCATCTTCAAATCGCGTGTCAATCAACATCAACAATTCCACGATCGCTGAGGAGCATCTGTTTGATTGAAATCCCACAGCATTAATACTTCGATGACATATCCAATAATATAACTTGTGTGTGGCAACGTTCATCAAAGAAGAAACGATCAGAATTATCATCAACAACGCAACGATCAACGTTAGAAATCATCAGAGCAACGATCAACAACGCAACGATAAACATTAGCACCATCAACAACGCAACGATCGACATTAGCATATTAAAAACGCAACGATCAACATTAGCATCATCAACAAAGCAACGATCAACATTAGCGTCCTGTAGCCAGTGACGCGCGCGGCAGGCGATAACCGCAAAGCGACATCTCCAAGTGTTTCTTTGAGGGTGTGAACGTCAATGCTGTTCCAGGCACAAGCGTGAAGAGGCGGTTTGCCTTGAGTAGGCCGAAGCAAACGGAAGTGTGTATAACCTGAACATTATCACAGGAAACTGGTAATATATTTCTCGTCGGCGGCGTCATCCCGTGTGTGTAACACGGCGTCTTGTTTACCGCTGCATACATTTAAACTCACTCTGCAGCTCGTGTGTGATGGGAGTGGCTTGCGTAAGCGGGAAACATACGAGTCAATACATGCTTGTACATACATCGCAATAAATGTCCTTTCGTCAACTACGTATGTCAAGTGGTCGGGTGTGTTGAAGCTTTCAACCAGTCGGAAAGAATTACGAACTTCATTCGAATATATCAAAGACCTTTAACACAAAATTTGTAGTGACAGTGTCGTAGTGTTCATACTTCTGTATCCTTCACGAAAAGCAGAGGTTTTGTTCGAGAAGTATAAAAAAATTTGCGTATGCTACGTAGATCGACGTGTTGAAGAAATTAAACAGAGAAATAATTACGTACTTCTTTCTTAAACACGATTTTGAAGAAGCAGTAATCTACTGGGCACGATTTACTTTTCATGAATAGAAGAAATTTGTGTGAGAAATTAATAATTTTAAAGACGTGCAACCTAACTATCGGTTTTGCATAATTCGACTACTCAGACACGAGATTGTTCTGTTTTGTATAGTACGCAAAACGTGAATCTCATCTAAATCCGATTTATTTTAGAAGATAAAACCATTTATACGCGAAATACATATATAAAGAGTGCAACAGAAACCAGCGGTTGATGCAGGTGATTTGACCAAACAAACCCGTGTGCAGTTGTTGTTTCGTTCGGCACCCCCGAAGCGAACAGCGTGACGAATATTAACAACCTCGCGCTGACAGACGCTGCTTCCCGGCTTCTCCAGCGGGAGATAACGACCCGCAGAGCCTCCCTGCCGTTGCCGTCTCCAACGGCTACTTCCGCGGCCGCTTCGGAACAGAAGGAAGACGGCAGAAGAACAAGCAGTAGAAAGACGTAAAGAAAAAGCAATTCGACGCAGAAGCTGACCGACCAGTCGACGGGTGCGATCGGTCCAAGTGGTTCTGGTTAGTGCTCTATCGTAGTGCGCGGACGATCCTTTCCAGAGTCCCCTTGAGCTGCGTTAAGAAGTACGATCTTGGGAGCCCGAGCACTCCAGAGGCCGTGTGCGTGCGAGATACACCGGCCGGCGACCTGTCTGGCGAAGCAGGCAGTGGAGAGGAAGAAGATTATAGAACGAGCCGACGAAGGGGAATCGAACTCGGGACCCCGACAAGAAAAGTTCGCAACGTGTGCCAAACGGAAGCCGAATCCCACGATCGAATTCGTACATGTACCACTAAAAAGATAAAAACGGCCAGACGACAACGCTACGTGTAAATCTACACCCACTCTCGCAGAGCCAACAAAAAAATATAAGTTCAGTGCATCGAACGGGATTCGTGTTTTGAACTTGCACACCACACAATAAAAAGCTAACAAAAGCCAGCATCTCCTCGAAGAAGTGAACGAGAGATTAGAAACTAAGACCTGAGAAACACAATATTACTTGAGGGACAGGAATTTAATCTGAGCATTTCATGCTATTTGGGAATAAACGTGGCAGAGAGATCAGTTTGCGAATAAGCTATTCCGTTCTATTCACGCTGCTATATTCACAAGAATTATTAAGAAATCTAACGCCAGTTTCAGAGGTTCATGCATAACGATTAATCCATGTTACGGTGTAAGATATTTGATAATCTGTCGCCGAGTCTTTATAAAGTGAAGCTTGCGTGAGATAAGCAATTGGCGTACAGAAATTAGTGTTTTAGAAATATTCTTTGCTACTTACAAGAACTTCCCAGTAACATAACGGCGCGCTATTGAATGTGTAGATATACCAGTGAATTCCTGGTGCGCGAAATCTAAGATTTCTTGGAATAACTACTGCGGTATAACCCGTCATCAGTCGTGCGCGAAAGTTCTGCGGCAACAATAGCACAATCCAGATTCGTCACCAGCCGTTCCTCGCCGATCAAAACAATCGCCCATCGCTGAACGGAAGTCGAAACTCACGTCGCGCACGAACAATAGCACGTCGCCACCTCCAAACGCACGCAGCGGAAGCGAGGTAGGAAGGCCAGCGCGGCCGCCGGAAGGCGTCTGGCGTCGAACCAGTGACCGCGGAGGAAAGGAGAGCGCGGGTCGTGTCGACCCGCTGGCCTGCGTTGCGACTGCCCTGCCCGCCCCGCCCCGCCCCCTCCTCGTGCCTCGCGCCGAGTGAATGGACTGCGAGCCACGAGCGTGTCACGAGCAAACGGCGCGCCGCGGAACCAGAATCGTGCTGGCCCCCGGGGGAACAAGTGCGCGCGCGCTGGACCCGAGCACGGCTGAACCGCAAGCCGCGAACGGAGCGCCGAGAAAGTGGATTGGGTGAAATCTCCCCCCCCCCTCCTTACCCTCACCGCGCAACTCGTCGCCCGCTCGGCATCTCCCACCCTCGGTTACGTCGGTTTCAATCAGCAGTCCCACGAACAAGACACGGCGGCTGATTGTTTTCGAACGATTGTTACGAAAAAAACAAAGGAACGTAGCAACAGTGGAATATCTCGATATTCGACAATATCCCGACTGCAAAGAAGCCACGTTTCAAGAGTGTTTAGTGAACAAGTTGTTAAAAAACGAAGCAACAGTGGAATCGTTCGATCAATGAGTGTTTGAACGACGGTCACGACAGCTTTCGAGTGACGACAATACGAAATGCAGTGTCTAATTCTTGAATGATTTCGTACTGTCCAACGAAAAGGATTGTTTCATTAGTAAATTGGTAATTTTCAATCATTGTTTGCGTTTTTTTTAAAAACAAGATGTAATTGGCAATTGTTTACGTAGTGAACACGCGAGTAAATAGGAGTACTGAATTCATGATTATGTAGTCACAAATCGAAATTTCAAGAAGTGAAAGAATTACTTTTCTGTGCGTTAAAAAACCCGCACGAAAATCAAATCGCGAAGTTTTATTCATAATTGACTGTCGTAACCTTGAACTGTGACAAGGCGAGTGTTTTGGAGTGCAGGTGTGCGACGACCGGGACGCGAACTCCTACCGCGTCCATCGCTTTCCCGTTGGTGCGGCACCAACGCACATTGCTCCCCCCTCTCGGTGCACCACCGCCGCCACCACGCAGCCCACGTCGAGCACCACTCTGCGCAATGGGCGCGAGTGGCGCGCGCGCAACGTGAGGACACCGCCGCACCATCGACTGCCGCCCGTGCCGGCAGACCCTCCGGGCACCATGCACCACCCGCACACCATGATGCGCAACCACCACGGCGGAGGCGGCGGCGGCGGCGGGGGTGGTTCTAACCACCACCACCACGTGCCGCACCACTCCACGCACGTCAGCCACCACCCGGGAGGCGGGTCCGGGCCGGTGCAGCACCATCACACCAACGGGCACGCCAAAACCAACGGACACGTCTCCAGTGAGTTTTTGCTTTTTTTAAATTTTTATTTGAAGCATGGGGTAGATTCAGTACCAGAGTAGACTCGCGTTGGTCGAGACTCCTAATATAGGGCGGGGGCGTCTTAACGAAGCTAAGCTGGTGGAGGGGGTAGAGCCGATAACTGTATTATTTTGATTTGATCAATTTTAGGACCCGTGCAGCACCATCACACCAACGGTCACGCCAAGACCAACGGAAGCGTCTCGAGTGAGTGTTGGCTCTCTTATTTGATGCATGCGGTAGATTCAGTAGTACTGTAGACTCGCGTTTATCGTGATTCCTAATAAAAGGCGGGAGCCTATTAACGGAATCAGGTTGGTGGTGGTGGTGGACCAATAACTGGATTATTTTCATTACTAGTTGGTAGATTGAGCAACATAGCAGAATCGCGATTACCGAGATTCTAATATAAGACGGGAATGTGTTAACGGAGACGACCTGGTGTCGGTGGTAGAGACTATAACTATGTATATTTTGATTTCATCAATTTCTTACATCTTCGTTTTTTAAGATGTGTGTTTTTCTTATTTTCATTTCTGGAACTAATGGTATATTTGTTACCACTACCTACGGCAAATAACACTCATAAATATTACATATAATTATTATTTATAAGTTCATAATCATAAATTCTATCATTGAATAATTGTTTTCAAAATAAATAAGTAAAGCGGTATTATTACAAATATATGTTTATATCTCCAATAATAAAATGTTCTTTAAACACTTACAAGTATTACATAAAGTGAAAAATTGAGCGGTACTTCTTTGACTATCATTGGTTTAGTGAAATTAACCTCGATCATAAAATTGTCGCAGCCTTTGGACAGGTGTAAGTAACGAATCAATTAGAATCAATCATAATAGCTTTTCGTATCATTTCTAAATGAGACATGCTCGTCGCCTTAACTCATACTTAACGTTTCTTCTTCAGTGGAGTTCACGATTAAAAAAATATATTTCTCTGAGATGTGCAACTGTGAGTACAAATTTGTTGAAATACAGATTTATTAATTTACGTCGGTTCATTTACAGCTTCAAAAATTTAATATAGCAATGTGGTATGTTGTTCTTTCTCTGTCATATACCTTGAATACACACACATATCATGAAATGACGCCGGATAGCAGTCAAACTTCACACATCTTTCAACAATAATCAACCGACGAAATATTTACCTTCTTTCAGTAAGTCTAGCGATCAAAAGCTATCACAAGCGACGATATTGCTTATTGATTCAAACTGTTTGCTACCCACGATATGCACCACCAACAGCACATATGCTGCAAGATTTATTTTCACTATACCCCTCACCTCCATAATTCCGGTTGCTTTCCTGTTTATCAGGAACATAAAATTTCAATTCACGGTTCTGCCAAAACTCTTCCCGCCCAGAGAACGAGTTGCTTGAAAGTACGACTAGACGCGTGGGAGATAAAAGTGGGAACATTGATCGTTACGAAGCCAATGAAACAGATAAACGGGGGACTTGGGTTTTCGAATATACAAGACGCGTGACTTGTTTTAGGACGTGTACGATCTCGCATAAACTTTAAAGACCTCTTCCAGGCTTCCCATATCTATCGCGTGTGTGTGTTACGGCCCTCTGAATCTAGAGCTCGATCGAGAGAAAGGTGGTTATTTTGCACCATACACTCCCACATGCGTCATCTCTATGCCACCATGGCCTTATCCGGAAAAGAAAGCTGCGCATATTTAATGACCTTTCGGACCCAGGGGTCAAAAACATTTGCGCGGAAGGTGATGAAGTACCTCTGGGGCAGGGGAGACCAAACTAAACTCTCAGGGGTTGAATACGGAGCAACTAAGTGCTGCACTATGACCTTATCTTAAATACGTACGGATAATGTCCAATAAAAACACGTTTTACGAACTATGGCCTCTTTAAAGTAATTTAAAATCTGTTCCGACTGATGTGTTATGAAATATCAAATTTTGACTGTCACTATCGTATGTCATTGCCCACAGTTATGGGAGGAAGGCTCATCCTTATGTTCAAAATAATCACAGAAAATTACAGTAGATCATTATCGTACATAAATCTACACAGGATATATCTTCCCTAGTAGAATATTATGATCAGCGCGGCCTACTGAAAACAAGATTGTCAGCGATAGGGGCGGATCCAGAGACAAATTTGGGAGGGGAAATTAAAAATGTTTTGGGCGAAAGTGTCGTATTAGAGATTTCGTAAAATGTCGCAGGCCACACTCAGCTCATGCAGCGGTACTATTTTATTCGTTTTAATGATTATCCTAAAATATTTTTCGCTTGAATGTTTCGTGACAAGTTCAAATTAATAGACACTGAAAAAAGTAAGCGCGGGGGAGGGGGATTTCCTTCATTTCCCTTCCCGTGGATCCGCGCCAGGCGATCAAGTTGTACTTGTAACCGGCCTATCTCACATAATACGTACAAATCCGACAATGGTTAACTACTCGTACATTGTTTTATTCACGGACATACTAGATGAAATACGTCTCTTTTCAGTGAATGGCATAATTTTGTGACTCTAGTCAAGTAACCAATAGTAACAGAAAGTCAATCCTATAACACGGTTATAGGCAACAGAGTAGTATGTAGATGCACAAAGTAATTTTGGGGTCCAGCTCCATTCTTTGTAGCATACTGTATTTCCCTCGTTCAGAGATTGATTTGAAACCTACAGCACAATGCAATACGCTTCAGAACTGTTACGCCTGACCTCTGACTTGCAGTTGTGCAGTCGATCTTGAGTTAAGCACTCTGCGGAGAGAATGTTGTGGCACTGTGTAGCAGAACCAGGTTTCTCTGCGCGCAGAGCTGTATCACAGGCGCCGTTCGGAAGGAAATTGATAGCTGGACCCGATCCTTTTAAATGAAATACGCTCCACTCTCAAAGTTCAAACTCGTCGGACAAAAACAAGCTCCGCCAATGATCTTTGCTCTCCGCTGCTCGTTAATCCTTGGCGAATGCGTTTGCTTCCAATGTGTTATGAAGAATGTACATCTACATAAAGCTTTATTTCCCTATAATTTCAATGGGTGAATGCAAACTGCCCCTGAACTGAAATAATCGAATATTTATAATGTGCCTTTACAAGACTTCGACGTGTTCATTAACAGACTGTTTTCATTTTGGGCTTCTGAATTTACTTTTGTCTGCAAGCACGCAATTATTAACAGTTATTTACCGCATAGTTTCGTTACGAACAATATAATACGTTTTATACGTGTTGCGAAAATTCCAAGGATTTATAATTTTTATTAAAACTATGATGCTATGAATCGCATGATGATAATAGTCTCTTGATGCTATTTGACAATTAGAAAGGTGACAAATGATGTTGAAAGTAGTATCTAGGACTCCATGAAACATTTTTAATATATACGAATTATATTCGTAAACGGGTCGTATTATATACATACGAAACTGATTACAGATGTTAATAGTGGGCCAATACTACGATACTATTTAGTAAAGGTTGACTTTAGCCGAAGTAAATTAAAAAAAATACTGAACTGTTATATTCAACCAAGTGACATTTCTAAAATAAAATCACTGCAAATTTTTTTTAATTTTAGAATTAAAGTATTATTTTAGGCTTATAGAATTTACCGCATTGAAAATGTGTATGAAGTTACAAAGTGTTAGGAAAATATATTTCAGAGAGAAAACTCACAGCACGTCTAAAAAGGTTAATATCCCTACGTTACATTTCATTTCGCTCGTTGTGTATCGCGGTCTCAGTTAAGTGCACATTATAGCCATTTCATTCCGCTACGAACACCTGCTAAAAATTAACCACACAATGGACCTATTGACCTTTGTACAATGCACATAGCACGATATAATGGTTAGTAGGTCAAGGAAACAAAATAATAAAATGACTGACACAGTACCCGAGCGTAATACAAAACTATGAAAAAGAAACGTTATACACGCGTTGCAACGTGCTTTTATACGTGCGTAATACTCGTGTATCAACCGTATTGTTTGGGAGAATCTAAACTGTAGGAAGAGACACAAATGTCCGACAGTGATCCCAGAGAAGTAGACCTCAGTTACCATAACCACCTTGTTTGAAAACATGGAATGGGTAAGATAATCTGTATAAACAGTTCAAATTTTCTTCCTAATAATGTAAATGTATGATTGACACACATAAGATGACAAGACAGTTTTATAAAATAACAGCATGAATTGTCAAACGAGGAACTTAAAGTGTTAACTTGTATGATTGTTAATACTTTGTTTATCAGCCAGGAATCTTCATTTTTGGATATTCATTTGAAATTTTAGATGTAATGCGAGGAAAACAGTTGTTGTAAACTACAAAAAAATGTTCACAAAAACATAAGGATCTCTTAGGAGAAAAAAGCCTTCTGCCTTCTCCAATTCTAGACATCTTCGTATATTTCACCTATTAACCAAGCTGATACACGCCGGCTAGCGTTTTCTAATTGGAGTTATAATACATAATACATTTTATCAAACGGTGTGACACCATTACTGACACCATCTGGCAAACACTTGGAAAAGAAAATCAAACCCTTCCTAAAAATCGTTCAACACATTTTTGAAATTGGTTATTTTCGAAACTTTGAGTAGGGCATGTCCAAAACATAACTGTACTGGGGGGTGGCAAACAGCGTAATTCTCATAGCAAATGTAGCTGCAGAAGCAACCACTTTGTACGAAACATAGGGCATCGACGTTTTCAAATTATGTAGTGGAGAACAATGTTAGACCACTAAGCAGAACATAAGGTCACCCGCATCATCACGAAATCTACATGCAGCAATCGGGGAACAGGAGTGTGACCGTGTGTCCACTCGTTACAATTACATTGTCCCAACTTGTGGCAAGTGATGTGTTAATCTGAATGTTTCTGGAACTGAATATTTCGTTAGGTTCCTTGCGGGAAATTCCAGAACTCTAAAAGTGTAATTTTTATTTATTTTGAGAGAGAGAGAGG